CGTGGCGCGCGCGGCGCGTATGATAGGCCGCCAGTGCTCGCGGTCTCTGCTGACTTTTACTCTATCGTGTTGTGTTCGGCTATGAGTATGTTCTATGCACGTCTGTTTGTTTCTGTTCTGACCTCGACGGGGCGGCGTGACGTCGCGACGCCTGTCGCGTTTGTTGTGTCGTCCAGTCGGTCATCGCCGCGCCTGTCTTTTCTTTTGGCCCGGCGCGGATGCTAGTGTGCCCTTGATTCGTCGTTGCTGTATTTGGCAATGTTCAAGTATGCTATGCTCGATAAGGTTCTATCCTGCCATGCTACAAGATGATATTTTATGTTGACCGATCGGTCGTCCGATCGGTCATTGCTGCGTCTCGTTGTACATGTGGCCGAGCTGACTTCGGCGCACACGTCGCGTTTGATTATGTCATGGGTCATTCTAGTATGTTATGAAGTTCCTTTTCAAGTTCATGTCAGCTTTCTCTTCCGTTAAAGTGTGCTCCGTTATTTTCGCCTCTGCCATTGTATGCTACGTTATGATATGATATGATCTGGTCTGGTAGCACCACGTTAGGCTATTCTAAGTATGTTCTGTCAGGTTCGGTTATGCAATGCGTTCCTCTGTGATGCTGTTCAGGGTATGCTCAGTTCTCTATAGTACAGTACGGGAAACTATAGCCAATCATGTTATATCGAAATCGTTGACATAGGGGTAGCAGTAGTACAGCAAGTATGTTATGGTATGCTGGTTACGGGGTGCCGTATTCGTTATATCTTGTTGTTTCGATCATGTTCTATGACGGGCTGGCGTGACGTCGTGACGCCTGTCACGATAGACACGTCGTCCGATCGTTCGTTGCAGCGCTTGTTTGCTCGCGCACGTCGCGTTCTATTCTATTGCAGTACAAGAGATGATGTTGTGATGAAATGCTTTGTCATGTTATGAAAGGATGTGAGTCTGCGTTATGCTATGATGTGGTATGCCACTGTGTGGAATGTTGTGGTCTGTTCTGTTACGCTATAGTGTGGTGTGCTCTCTGCCCTTGTTTGCTATGATGTGTGGTGTTATGGTATGCGCTGTATGCTCCGTGATGTCATTGTATGCGGTGTTATGTTGCGCCCTGCTATGTCGTGTTCTGTCATGGTATGGCATGGTATACGTTATTATGCCAGGGTGTATGATCTATGCTGTTATGCGGCTATACAATGTGTTATGCCGCGCTCTGTCATGATACGCGTTGTCATGTTGTTGAATGCTATGTGCGCTGATGCTGTGTTACGGTGTGATATGTTATACCATGGTATGTTATGGTAGGACATGGTCTACCATCGTGTGTTTAGCTATGCTCTGTTGTTTTATGGTATGAGGTGTGGTGTGCTGATATGTTATGTATGGTCCGTTATGCTGCGCTCTGTCATGCCATAATATGTCATACGTGCTGCGATGCTATGTGTCACGTTACCTTTGATGTGATGTTGTGTTGTAGTTAGGTGCGTTATGTTATGACATGATGTGGTGTACTATGTTATGCCATGATATGAAATGGTATGTTATGCCATGTCATGCCATGTCTGATCCTAGCTGTCATTGCACGCGTTGTTATGCTGTGTTGTTCTATGCTATGGTATGTATGTCATGTTGTATGAGGCTGTGACAACCTATGTGTTGGTATGTTCAGTTCTGCGATGCGTTGTTATTGTATGAGTGTTGTGTCATGGTATGGAGTGCTTCGTGACGTGATGCTGTGCTATGTTATGCGCTGCTCTGTCATGGTGTGTGATGTTACTATACATTATGTCATGCTATGGTATGTTATCTTCGGATGTGTTTCTTTAGGTGGTGTGGTGTTATGCTTTGTTATGTCATAGGTTATCGTGTTGTGCTGTCTTATGTTCTGCTATTTTATAACACCGCTCTGTCATGCTATGATTTGTCGGCGCTGAGCGGGACACTCGGGGATCCTCGGGGAAACTGGGGATCTGGCGGCCGCGGTATGCAGAGGGGCGCGAGGCGGGACTCTCGGGGATACTCGGGAGCCTGGGGATCTGGCGGCCGCGATATGCAGGGTGGACGGGTCGGGAGGTCTGTTCTTAAAATCTAACGACCCCAACTTGCCGGATGGGGAAATATACGTTTTACAAAGGAATGTAACTTTTTGTCATCTTGGGGCCTTATCGGCGGTATTGTTGGAACACTTTTGGGCCGTCTTTGGGGTCTTATGGGCCGTCTTGAAATCTTAAATCGTCGTGGGGCTACTCAGGGCCGTCTCGACGCTCTCTTCGAGTGTCCTGGCGCAGCCTGGGCGCTCTTGGGGCTTTTTGGAGGCTCCGGAGGCCCTGAGGATGCGTTGGCGAGCTCATGCCCCCCCCACCACCCCCTCCCTCCCCCTCAGACGGCGTTTTGTACCCCAGGGCAGGGGGAAAGTGTGATGGGGGACAGCCGAATGTTTCACATGCCATTTCACCCCCCTTCTCTCTCTCTCTCTCTCTATCGCTCTCTCTCTCTCTCTCTCTCTCTCTCGTTGTTTGTTTATTTGTGTTGTCAGTTTGTTTTGTTTCTCTCTCTCCCTCTCTCTCTCTCTCTCCCTCTTTCTCTCACTATATATATATATAGATGCACACGTCTCTCTCTCTCTCTCCCTCTCTCTCTCCCTTGTCTGTCTCTCTCTCTCTCTCTCTTTCTCTCTATATCTCTCTCTCTTTCTCTCTTCCTCGCCCTCTCTCTCTCTTTCCCTCTGTCTTTCTCGTTTCTCTCTATCGTCTCTCTCTCTCTCTCGTCTGTCTGTCTCTCTGTCTCTGTCTCTCTCTCTCTCTCTCGTTTCTCCATCTCTCTCCCTCTCTATCGATGTATAAATGTATGTATATATGTATACATGTGCCTTGCTTCTCTTTTTTTTGTTTCTCTCTCTCTCTATCTCTCCCTCCCTCGCTCTCTTCCTATCTGGTGCTCGCGATCGGGCTCGATCAGGATGGTGCTGTACTCTTCGGGGCGGGTTGTGCCAGCGGTGTCGAGATTCGGGTCACGCCGTGTGTGATTACAGTAGGCGTAAAAAAAACAAGAAATCCGGAAGGTGCCCCAGGGAAGTTGCTTACCCCCGGATGGGCCCATGAACCCACAGAAGCTCTGGAGCACCTGAGGACGTTCAAGGATCGACGACGAGCATGCCGAAAGATTTCGCGCAGCAAGATATCTTACCGTATGTGTCTACCGTCTACTGCAGTCTTCTCCACTCCGAGTGCGGAAGGGGTGGAGTTGCGACAGTGGTTCTTTTCTGGAGACGATCGGTCGACCAGGCAGCCCGATTCACAGTGGGCCAGCTGATAACATGGAGCACCCAGTCGGAGTAGCGGGCGTTGGGCGGTCATCGGAAGATCCTCTGCGCTTGAACGCACGTCTCCTATATTCATCGCCTTCACCAGAATCACTCATTGCCATTGGCTCAAGCGTTTTCGAGGCCGCACCGCGAGGCATCGTCCGTATCCCACAGCTCCACCATCCTAGCCTCAGTCCCATGGGTCTTGCCGCGAAGATCGTCGCAGTCGCCGCGCTGGTTTGCTTGGTGCCCGCCGAGGCGAAAGTGTAGTACCTTGGCAGTCCCGGCGCATCGTGCTCAGAAACTTGTGCTGCCGTGTCAGGGACTTGTGCCAAGCCTCACTCGTCTTGGTCTTTCAAGGCGCCAGACGTGGCAGAGGCGCTCTGTGTCGACTGCACCGGCTGGCTTTGGAGTCCCCATGGTTCCACTCCGTTTGGCACGAAGAACGGCAGATGCTACGTATACACGCCGAGCTCTTATGACTGCACCGCGCGTGTTGAAAGTGCTTTTCAAAGCTTTTGCATCTGCGATGGCGTCGGCGACGTTCAACCTCCGTGTCCGACGCCAAGCCCGACGCCGAGTCCGAAGCCAAGCCCGCTCAAAGATACGAGCAGTCCGAATGAGGATACGAGCAGTCCGCTCAAAAAAGCGAGCAGTTCGAATGAGCATACGAGCAGTCCGAATGAGGCATGCGAGTCGAAGGGCGATGGCTGCGAGATCGGGTGCTCAGATGGCGGCGTCCCAGCAGAGTGCGGCGGTTCATCGTGCTGCGAGCTCTTCCAGGAGGCCCTCGCGGAGCTCCACCAGGTTGGCGACAGCTCGGACCCGAATGGCGACTTCAGCCTGCGGCAGGGTCCCGGAGGTCGTGCGGAAGCGGTGCGAGTCCTGCTCGGTGTGCGAGGCCGGTGCGGAGGCTGGCGAGAAGTGGGCGAGGCTCCTGGCGGATGGCCGGGCTGGGGTCGTCGGGCGCCGCGGCGGCGGCCGCCCTCGCGGCCCTCGTAGCAGCCGCTGTGCTCGGGGGGGGGCGCGATGGTGCTCCGGCGCTGGGGCGCGGCCCAGGCGCCGGGCGAGGTCGGCGCCCACGAGGACCTACTGGACGGAGTGCCAGGGTATCGCGCTGCTCCTTTTTACCACCTCTCTCTCTCTCTCTCCCTCCCTTCCTCTTGCTCCTCCTGCTTATCCTCCTCTCTTCTCCGTGCTCGACGCGCGCCAGCCTGCGTGAGGCGATGCGCCCTCGAAGTATCTGCGATCTCGATAGGTTCAGGTCAGAGCCAGCGATGGGTACGCACCCGCTGCTCGACGTCTATCGAGAACTCTCGTCGACATGCCTGCACTGCACTGCATCTGTATAGGGTAGCTGCTCTGCATTGAGCCGCTCGGCGCGCAGTAAGGAGACCAACCCCCTGCGGGTAGCTGCTCTGCATTGAGCCGCTCGGCGCGCAGTAAGGAGACCAACCTCCTGCAGGCTCACGGAAACTTCGGGGCTTCCCTCACTTCGACTTGAGTTTGAAGTTTCGCTAGACGCGAGTCGCGAGAAAGCTTCGCTCCATGTTAATGTCTGTCCAATGAAACAAGGTCAAGAAAGGCGCATCTGCAGCGAAAAAAAAGAATCACTCATTGCCATCATCATCGTCCTCCTCGCTATCATCATCACCACCTACCCCCCCTTCCCTTCTTCATTGGACGGGGTGGCGCTTCTCAGGCGCAGGGCGGACATACTCGACACTGCGGCCTGCTCCCAGCGCAAGAGCACTTGGGACAGCTACTGCAGCAGCGCCGACGCCGAGATGGTCGCTATCGTTGTCCTCCTCCTCGTCGTCGTTGTCCTCTTCGTCCTCGTCATCGTCCTCCTCGCCCCTCTGCTCCGCCCACAGTCCTCCTCCCCCTCCTTGTCCCGTCCTCCCCCCCCACTTGGAGGGACAATCCTCCTCACCGTCTTCGCCCCCGCGGAGAGCTCCTTCTCCTCCTCCGGCCTTTCCACTCCTTCGTCCTTTCTCCCCTCGCCCTCCCCGAACAAGGTCTACATCCCACTGCCAAAGTCCACCTACGTGCCGGCGTACTTCCGGTAGCCCAGGGAAGCGAGCTCGTCCAAGTGCTGAGATGTCCTCCATCCCTGCCAGGAATGAGGTCGGAGGACCATCCTGCGGCGACGGATCTGGACACTGAGGGGACTTCGGGGACCAGGGAATGCAGAGTCAGCCAGGGTCTTGTGAAGCAGCGGGGCCTTATAGGTGATCGTTTTCTCATTCGTTGTTTAGCCAACCGGCGCGGGCCATCGCACCCCCTCGCCCCCTCCCATAGAGTGGATCTTGGCTGTTTTTGGCACCAGTCTCGAGCAGGTGGAGTCTCCCCCACAGGACGCACTGTTGCAAACAGTCGCATCAAGCAGAGGTCCGGAGCCAGACCCCCCCCTCCCCACCCTTCCGCCAAATGTCGAAACGCCGAATAAGAAAGCGTTCACTGGGGCTTATCCGGGGCTGCTGAGGCCTACTGTTGCTTGACTGGGCTTCCTGGCTGGAGACCGGGCCTCTGCAGCCCCATCCAGATGGGGCGGCCCAGACAGGCCAAACGCATGCCGTCGCTGATAGGCCTCCTTCGGCCTGCGGGCCGGAGCCCCTGACCCAGGCCGACGGGGGAACAAATTCGAGATGGTCGCACCCAGCCGCTTTCGCGCTACCAGTGCGGTGGGCGCTTGTCCGGCCACGACGCGGCGCTGAGAGGAGGGGGAGGAGGAAAAGGACGACGGGGAGGGACGCGTGCCCCCCCCCCGCGGAGAGACAGCTTGAGCCGGCCGACGGGCCGCGCAACGCCGTCGAATGCCGCCGTGCGAACGCACCGCGGGCTGGCCTTCGTCAGAGGCAGAGGAGGAGGAGGAGGAGGAGGAGAAGGAGGAGGAGGACGAGGAGGAAGAGGAGGAAGAGGAGGAAGAGGAGGAAGAGGAGGAAGAGGAGGGTGGAGGAGGAGGAGGAGGAGGAGGAGGAGGAGGAGGGGGAGGAGGTGTGAATGTATGACTTTGCGACTGGGTGAGAAGGTTGCATTTGTTCAGCAGTTAGGCATCCTGTGGTACGGAGCTCGCCCCGCCGATGTTTGGTTCAAGCTTCAGTGGCCTTCAGGGGAAAATGCTCGTACCACTTTTTCATGGTAGCGGGGCCCGCGGTTCGCCCTACGGTTTCCGTTGCGAACGGTTCATTCCGCGGAGCACCAGCCTCTCTGCGATAAGGATGATGATGATGATGATGATGATGATGATGATGATGATGATGATGATGATGATGATGGCGATGATGATGATGATGACGATGGTGACGATGATGATGCTGATGACGATGATGACGGTGATGGTGATGATGACGATGATGACGTTGATGATGCTGATGCCGATGATGATGATGATGATGGTGATGGTGATAATGATGATGAGGCTAGTGATTATTGTGATGATGATGAGTCTGGTGATGATGATTCTGATGGGCATGATGATGACTATGATTATTGCTTTAGCTCGGAATCGGAGAAAGATGATGACGACGGCGGCGACGACGACGATGATTACACTTGACAACGATGGTGATTGATGGCGATGATGATGATGATGATGATGATGATGATGATGATGATGATGATGATGATGATGATGATGATGATGATGGTTCTGATGCTGATGATGATGATGATGCTGATGCTGATGCCGACGACGACTACGACGACGACGATGATGATGATGATGGTGGTTATGATGATGATGGTGATGAAGGTGGTGATGATGATGATGATGGTGATGATGCTGATGATTATGATGCTGATCATGATGATGATGGATGATGCAGGTGATGATGATGATGGCGATGATGACGGCGACGATGATGACGATGATGATGATGACGATGATGACGGCGACGATGATGACGATGACGATGATGATGATGACGATGATGACGATGATGGTGATGATGACGATGATGACGATGATGACGATGATGATGATGACGATGATAATGATGGTGATAATGATGATGAGGCTAGTGATTATTGTGATGATGAGGCTGATTATGATGGTGAGGATAATGATGGTCATGATCATGATGCTGATGATGATGATGGTGATGATGATGATGATTATGATTCTGGCTTTAGCTTGGAATCGGAGTAAGATGATGACGACAGCGGCGACGACGTTGATGATGACAATTGACAACGATGGTGATTGATGGCGATGATGATGACGATGATGATGATGCCGACGACGACGACTGCGACGACGACGATGGTGATGATGATGGTGATGGTGGTGATGATGAAGGTGGTGATGGTGGCGGTGATGATGATGGTGATGATGCTGATTATTAAGATGCTAATGATGATGGATGGGGTTGTTGTTGATGATTATGTTGATGATGATGATGATGATGATGATGATGATGACGATGATGATGATGATGATGATGATGATGATGATGATGATGATGATGATGATGATGATGATGATGATGATGATGGTGAGGATGATGATGGTGACAAGGAGGAGGAGGAGGAGGAGGAGGAGGAGGAGGAGGCGCAGGAGGCGCAGGAGGAGGATGAAGAGCAGGAGGATGATGGTACAGGGGAGGGAAGGTGAGAGGAGAGGAGGAGGAGGAGAGGAGGAGGAGAGAGGAGGAGGAGGAGGAGGAGGAGGAGGAGGAGGAGGAGGAGGAGGAGGAGGAGGAGGAGGAGGAGGAGGAGGAGGAGGAGGAGGAGAGGAGGAGGAGGAGGAGGAGGAGGAGAGGGAGGGAGAAGGGAGGAGGGGGGAGGGAGGAGCGGAGTGGCGGAGGCGGAGGCGGTCAGCTCGGAGTTTTCGGCGTGGCTTGGACGCCGCCTCGCGGCCCCCCGGCCCGAGCGAGGGCGGCCGGCCCGTGATCTCCGCAGGCGTCGCCGGTAGCGCTTGCTTCTTCCACGGCATGTCTGCGCTCCTCCCCTGGGGGGCCTTTTTGCGAACCCTACCCTCTAGGCCTCCTAGATGGGGTCGGAGTAGATGGGTTCGCACGATCGCGCCGCATCGCCGATGCATCGCCGATGCGGCTCGATGTGCAGCCTGATTTGCGTCACGTCGAAGTTGCCGAAGCATCTCCAACGTCGACGATGCATCGCCAGTGCATCGCCGATGCATCGCCGACACATCGCCGATGCATCGCCGATGTATCGCCGATGCGGCGCGATCCTCCGACCCCATCTACTCCGACCTCATCTAGGAGGCCTCTATACCCGCAACCCCCACGATTTCTGAGGGGAAGGGTGGGGTTCACCTCGCTCGGGAGCTCCCGAGCGAGGTGAACCCCACACCCTTCCCCTCAGAAGCCGTGGGGGTTGCGGGTAGGGTTCGCATATGGCCTCCTATCCTCCCGGCTCCACCCCAACGAAGCAGAAAAAACGCCATGAAGAGAAACTGTTGGCGCTCCGCGCGGATTTCTTGGATCGGCGCCTGGGACCCCCCCCAGCGGCGCCTCCGGCGCCGCCCCTGGCGCGCTCCGCGCGCCGGGGAGGGGTGTGTCCAGCGCGGATCCAAGAAATCCGCGCGGAGCGCCAATCGGTCATGTTTGTGGCGTGTCTTTCTCCTCGTGCACCCTCTCCTCCACTGGGCCTGCTCCCGGCCGGCCTGTGGTGCTGGGCCTTCGCCTGGAAGGGGCAGCGCGCCCCGCGGTCCTCGCTCCTCCTCGCCGCCCTCCTCGCCTCCAGCCCCTAGGGGAAAAAACAGACAGACACAAGTAATCGTCGATTCCCAGGAAAATTTGGGAAACTATGGGAAGTGGGGGGGAAGATAAAAATTTAGGAAAATATAGGGAATAGTTTTATTTGTGTGTATTTATTATCCAGTCCTCGCCCTCCTCGCCGCCCTCCCTCCTCCAGCCCCTGCCTCTCCCTCCCACAGGCCGTGCGGCACGGCCCTCGGACGCCTCGTGGCACGATGGGCGGGCCCACCGAGGCCCTCCGCGCGGTGACCTCGCGCGCCCCCGCCCGACCTGCTCCGGCACGCCCCTCGCGCGCTCCGTGGCCCCACGGGGCGCTCCGCCGCCCGACCCACCCCGGCACGGCCCTCGCGCGCTCCGTGGCCCCTCCCCCTCCTCCTCCTCCTCCTCCTCCTCCTCCTCCTCCACCTCCTCCTCCTCCTCCTCCTCCTCCTCTTCCACGGGGAGGTCCACCGAGGGCCTCCGTGGTGAGCTCGCACGCGCCCGCCCGCCCCATGTCGGCACGGCCCTCACGCGCTTCGTGTCCCCACAGGGAGCTCCACCGAGGGCCTGCGTGGTGACTTCGCATGCGTCCGCCCGACCAATCTCGACACACCCCTCACACGCCTGGTGTCCCCAGAGGGAGCTCCATTGAGGGAATCCGTGGCGTGTTCGCGTGCGCCCGCCCGCACCAATCTCGGCACACCCATCACACGCTGCGTGGCCCCATATGGAGGGCGGGCCCGGCTCGCGCACCCCTCCTGTCATCGCTTGTCTTGCTGCCCTGGTCTCCCTCGCCCCATGCCAGTTGCTTCGTGAGTGCCCTCTGTGCTCCCAAGCGTTAAGTCGGGCTTGCCCCTCTACAGGGGGGGTATTCCAAAATAGTTAAAAAATAGTCTGGGGACGTTTTTTTCCCAACCATCCTGTGATGTTGGGTCCTCGTTTTGAAGAGACGGTCCCCGCGTTCCTCTTCTCCTCTCCTCCTCCTCCTCCTCCTCCCTCTCCTCCGCCTCCTCCCCTCCCTCCTCTTTCTTCCATGCGTTTCACCCAACCAGCACAGCGTTTCGTGACCCCATAGGGAGCTCCACCGAAGGTCCCAGTGGCACCGCCCGCATGCGTCCGCCACCACCCAGCACAGCCTTTGCTCCTTGCGTTTCACCCACCCAGTACAGCGCTTCGTCGCCCCATAGGGAGTTCCACCGAAGGTCCCAGTGGCACCGCCCGCATGCGTCCGCCACCACCCAGCACAGCCCTTGCTCCCTGCGTTTCACCCACCCAGTACAGCGCTTCGTGGCCCCATAGGGAGTTCCACCGAAGGTCCCAGTGGCACCGCCCGCATGCGTCCGCCACCACCCAGCACAGCCCTTGCTCCTTGCGTTTCACCCACCCAGTACAACGCTTCGTGGCCCCATAGGGAGCTCCACCGAAGGTCTCAGTGGCACCGCCCGCATGCGTCCGCCACAGTCCAGCACAGCCCTTGTCCCTGCGTTTCACCCACCCAGTACAGCGCTTCGTGGCCCCATAGGGAGCTCCACCGAAGGTCCCAGTGGCACCGCCCGCACGCGTCCGCCACCACCCAACACGGCCCTTGCTCTCTGCGTTTCACCCACCCAGTACAAGGTTTGGAGGCCCCATAGGGAGTTCCACCGAAGGTCCCAGTGGCACCGCCCGCATGCGTCCGCCACCACCCAGCACAGCTTTTGCTGCTTGCGGTTCACCCACCCAGTTCAGCGCTTCGTGGCCCCATAGGGAGCTCCACCGAAGGTCCCAATGGCACCGCCCGCATGCGTCCGCCACCACCCAGTACATCCATTTCTCCTTTCGTTTCACCCACCCAGTACAGCGCTTCGTGGCCCCATATGGGGCTCCACCGAAGGTCCCAGTGGCACCGCCCGCATGCGTCCGCCACCACCCGCACAGCCCTTGCTCCTGCGTTTCACACACTTCATGTACAGGCTTCGTGGCCCCATAGGGGAGCTCACCGAAGGTCCAGTGGCACCGGCCCGGCTGGTGCGTCCGCCCCACCACCCAGCACCAGCCCTTGCTCCTGCGTTTCACCCCACCCAACACAGTGCTTCGTGGCCCCATAGGGAGTTCCACCGAAGGTCCCAGTGGCACCGCCCGCACGCGTCCGCCACCACCCATCACGGCGTTTGGTACCTGCGGTTCACCCACCCAAACAGCGCTTCGTGGCCCCATAGGGAGTTCCACCGAAGAAGATATTCACAATTGCGGTATTCACAATTGCATATGGTTGGGTCTTTCGCCAGGCTAATTTCAATTGGGGGGTATTTTTTCCCCAAAATCGCCCTGTAGGGGTAAAGGCCCGACCCCAACCCAAGCGCCAGGTCTCCCCAAACTGGTGATTGGGTTCACGGGTCGACCCTCCCGCTCCGCTCCTTTCTTCCCCCCCCTGCCCGCAATGCCCCGCGCCTCGTCCTTCCTGCGGCGCTACCTATGAGAGAGCAGAGGCTGTACCGGTGCTCAAAATGCGGAGTCTGCGTTCGGGGGCGGCAAAGAGGGTGGTGATGACTAGGGGGGTGTGGATTTCATGGCGGGGGCCATGATATTTCCCCTGATTTCATGGCGCCTCCTCGTATTTCATGACGTCCCTGGCCCCCCCGCTGGGCCGCGCACATGCCGCCGGTCATGATTTGCACCCCCCCCTCTTGGACACCCCCCTCTTGGCCGCTCAAGATTCGGAGTCTGCGTGCCCCCCTCCTTCTTGGCATCGCTCGGACGTGTGCATTTCTTCCTTCGGCGAGGACAATCGAGGAGCATCCTTGATCATTCGGCGGAAAGGCCACGCACGAAACCGCAAAAAACACGGGGAATGGACGTCCGAGCGATGGCGAGCCTTCGTCTCGCCTCCCCCGCAGCACTCGCAGCTGCACGTGGTCGGGCCCTGCGCCGGTCCACTCTGACTGTGGGGGTGGCTGTCTGGCTGGCACCAGCGCTGGCACCGCGCCCTGCACGGGAGGCGAGCTTCCCTGCCGACGAAGAGCAGGAGGGGAAAAAGGAACACACAGACACAAATTTCAGCGTCGATCCCCAGGGACATAGGGGAAGATAGGGGACTTGGGGGGGGGGAAGACGAAAACCCAGAAGCGCTCCAGGGCGTCGTTGCGTCCTCCTCCTCCTCCTCCCTCCCCCTCTCCTCCCTCCTCCTCCTCCTCCTCTCCTCCTCCTCCTCCTCCTCCTCCTCCTCCTCCTCTCCTCTCCTCCTCCTCCTCCTTCCTTCCTCTCCTCTCCTCCTCCTCCCCTTCCTCCCTCCTTCCTCCTCCCATCCTCCTCTCCTTCTCCTCCTCCCTCCTATTCCCCTCTCCCTTCCTTCCCCTCTCTCCTCCCTTCCTTCTCCTCCTCCTCTGCCTCCTCCTCTCTCTCCTCCCCCTCCTCCACCTCCCTCCTCCTCTTTCTCCTCCTCCTCCTCCTCCTCCTCCTCCTCCTCCTCCTCCTCCTCCTCCTCCCCCTCCTCTGTTGTGGGGCATTGCGCCCGTTCTTTCCGCGCCCCTTGCCGGCGCCCAGAGTGCAGGGGGGGGGCCCGCCGCTGGCCTCCGGGCGGGGGTGCCGCCCCCCCCCTTCGCCGGGTGTGTGCAGGAAGGGTGCTCGCCGGGTGGCCCTGCGCCTCAGTGGGGCCTCTGGCCACCATAGTCAAAACAAAATCGTCCCCATATTTTTTTAAACTCTTTTTGGAGATTCCCCCTGTAGAGGGACAGGCCCGACTTTTAACCCTGCGCTCTTCGGGGCCTGTCAACCTACAGGGGGGTTTGGGACGAAACATCATTTTTTTATTCGCGGGTCGAGAGCGCACCTCTTCCGGTCGAAGCTCAGCGGGCCGCGTGGAGCTCGAATTGACCACTGAGGGGGAGGAAAGGGGGAGGGCGCAGCCTCAGAGCGAGGCCGGGAGGAGGCAAAGCCTCGGGATCAGGCGGTGCCGAAGTCGACGTACAAAACATCAAATAGCCAAACGACATGTTGGACGAAACATCAAATAGGCAAAAAGTGCCCCAAAATTGCCAAACATTGTCAAAGAATCGTCCCCGTATGATTTTGTTTTAAAACTATTTTTGAAGATCCCCCCTGTAGAGGGACAGGCCCGACTTACCCCTGCGCTCTTCGGGGCCCCAGTCGGACCACCCCGGTGGCCCGTGCGCCCCTCCCTCGTCTCCACGCACTTTCCGCCCGTGCGCGCCCCGCGTGCCATCTTCCAGCGAGGCGGCGTTTCTGTGCAGCTGGCGCTGTCCGCAGCTGTGCCGCCGTTGCCGTTTTTCCGTGCCTGAACACCTGATCGGGAGAGCCATGTCGGCCGTGACTATACACGCCGGTCGTTGAAAGCAGGTAGTTTTGGATCCCCAGATCCCAATCTACTTCAAGCGCCTTCCTACTTCAAGGATCGACATGCTTTTGCTGT